TGTCTTTAATCTTTATTCTTATAAATTGTTTAAATGCCGAAACTCTAATTAAATCATATAGAAAGTATTGCCGAAACGCCGAAACAGTTTCGGCAAGTTACGGCAGTTTCGCGATTTTGATAGGTTTCGCAGTTTCAGCATTTCTTGATGATTTCAAGAAACTAGTTTCGGCAGTTTCGCGTACGCCATTCTGCCGAAACCCTCTAGTTTCGGCAAGCAACCTTAGTTGCTGAGGAAAAAAATTCTAATGCCGGTTATCTTTTTATTCGCAATCAAGAAACAGATCAGTCATTAATACCACTTTTACTGGGTTATGTAGTATTTACAATTGCAGGTATGTTTACTTTATCAGCAAAACTTTGAATTCTAACTCGGATCTAGATAGAATACCATTAATAATATAAATTTATTATTTATAGGCAAAAAAAGATTCAAATTGTCAATTTTAGAGAGTAACAATCAGTTACTTTTTTATTGGAAGGAATTTGGCTTTGATACATTATATACCGAAAAAAAAGCACAAGGCCTTGAGCGAGTTGCATTTCATTATATGCTAAAAAAATATGGTCTTGATTCTAACAATTCCATTCAATACATTTTTGGCCTCAATGTTCCAGAAATAGTTAACAAGTTAAAAGAACTTGTTTATGAAAAATTTGCAACTCTTTTCCAGGATCAAGAACCGGAAAATCCAAAATTAGCCAATGCAAAAAAAAAAGAAGCAACATTACGCTGTAGTTTAAAACGAGATCAAGAAAAAATTGATACAATACTTTATGAAAATGATGAAAATAGTGAAAATATTATCCTTCATGGAATTCAGGTTGAATCTAGAGGAAAACTGTTATCCCCGAAAAAAACACAAGTTTTGATGTTAAAAAATATGGAACATAAAAAAACTATTTATTCTCAAAATAGAACTATTAAAACATTAAAAGAAAAAATTACTCCAAAAAATGAAACAGATATTGACAATAAAAGAGAAATTAAAAAATTGGTAGCAAATGAAATTGAAGAAAAAAAACTTGGCTCAACCATTTTTATGAGTACTTCACATTATCTTTCCATCCTTCTTTAATTACCATGCCCTAATTGTCTTGATAACGTAGTATCTAACCGAAAATTTCATACTACAGTATTAGGGTTTAATATAACTTGTAATATTGATTGTCTTCTTTGTAAAACATCAACGCAATATTCAAATGAAGATCCAGAAATAAAATATTCTCATTTAGTCGCTGGGGCAACACTTTCTGGTGAAATAAACCGAAACTCTCTTCAAACTGCATTAGCAACGATTGGAGTAACGAACCAATGCAGCAAAACATCTTACCATAATTATCAAAATCGAATGTATAAACCCATTGTTGAAAGTGCAAAAATGAGTAGTAGGACAATTCTACTTGAAATTCTGGATCATTTGGAAGATACATGTTTACCAGGACAAGAAAAAGTGTTGCCTATAGGCTTTGATTGTTCGTGGTCACATTCACGTAATGCACATCAAGCCAGTGGAGAATTCTTATATTTAGGAGACTTTTCTGGTAATATATATAAATGTCATATAATAAATGAGCAGAATAATTAAATTAAACTTTATTTTATTTTTAGGATATGATTACCAACCTGTAATTGCATTTCATACAATAGAGAATTCTCGTACAATACAATTATCTGATAAATCTTCGGTTGTAGTACATAATGGAAATTTCAATGGAACGTCAAGACAAATGGAACACGCAATCTTGCTTGCATTATTAGATGATATAATGCCTATATTAGAAGAAACTGATTTTACCCTACATATATGTGTAGATGGTGATCTTGAAACTAATCGAACCTTGGCATGTGTTCCTGCAGTAAGCCGCATATTTGCTGATCTAAAACATGTTAGTAAAAATATCCGAAAGAATTTATGTAAGTAAAAACTCCATAATCATTATTTATCAATTTTAATACTAATATACAAATAAATTAATAGTAAAAAAGCAATATTCACGTTGGCATTCCTTTGAACAACATATTATGAGATATTTCAACTCTTGTATATTTAGTGCTGGGATTCAAAGAAAAAACAATAAAAACAATATACCGACTGAAGAAGAAACACGGTATATACAAGTGGAGGGTTTGATTCGACATTTACTTGATGATCATAGTATATGTTGGAGTGATGTTTGTTGGATAAAAGATAACCCAGAGTTACAGTTGCAACAACCTACTCTAAAAAATTATACCAAAGCCGAAATTAATAATTTTAGAGATGTTATTACAACAATTTTTCGTGTACCATTTGGCCAAGGACTTGTAACTACACTCCGTACCTCTCATAATGAGACATTCAACAGGAAAATTCTCAAGTACTTGGATAAACGAATCGATTATTGGGCTTCATATAGTGTACGACATGCATTAGCAGTAATTGATCAAAATGATGGATTAGATGCAATGATTTCAAAAGTCCATATAGCAGCTACCGGAACAGATTTTTCATATTCTGATATATGTAATATACTGAAATTTGTTCACGAAAGATCTTAGCAGGTTATTAAAAATCAGAATACCATTCAACAAAGAAATGAAATGAGAAAAGAAAAATATGCAAACGAAAAAAAAGAACTTGCCGGTTTTGATTTTGATAAGGTATGTGAAAAATCTGTCAATTATAAAATATATTTGATAAATAAAATAATTTTTATATAGGAATTGGTATCTTATAAAAGTAAAGTATCTGAACAAATTCATGAAGATACTTTTTGGCCATCATTTGGAGAACTTCTAACGGATTTTGATGTAATTGTAAAATGTGTTGCATGTCATGCATTTGCAAAAAAAAGTTCACGTGGTTTATGTAGTGTTTGTTCATTTTACGTGGATACTGGTTTATGGGAACAAATAATTACTAATGATAAATATATACCCAAATGACAACGACCAGAAATACCTAAAATAGAAACACTTATCATCTTTGCCGCAAAAAATGTTTTTGGGTTTGATAGGCTTCGAAATGGACAATTGGAAGCAATTATTTCTTACTTGAATGGTAATGATACATTTGTATCTATAAAAACCGGTGGAGGAAAAACTTTGTGCTATGCTTTATCGGCTATTTGTTTCAAAGGTCTTACCATTATCTTTAGTCCGCTTAAAGCACTTATGGAAGACCAAAAGGTTATAATCATTATTATTGTATTAGTATAATGCATTATTCTAATTTCTTTTTTTTTAGCGTGAACTAATAAAAGTAGGCATTCCATGTGCAACCTTATATGCTAATCTAACACAAGGAACTAGTATTCAAGAAAAAATATTTGAAGAAGTAGCATGTGGATTGACAAAGGTGTTATTTGTTACACCCGAAAAACTAATATCTAATGGAGGATTTTGTAGATTTATTTCACAACTTTATGAACAAAAAAAGGTTCAATTTGTAATTGATGAAGCACACTGTATATTAGCATATCAAGATTTTAGGTAAATATAATAAATGCTTACAATTTTTTATAATTACAAATACAAATAATTATATATATTTTAGAAAAGCTTGGACTCAACTTGGAATATTAAAACAACAATGGAAATCAGCACCAATTATGTTACTTACAGCAACATGTACTCGATCAGAAGTAGATGAAATTCTCACAAATCTGACTATTAAAAATGACAAATTCACTTTAGTTCGTGATTCTACAAGTCATCGATCAGAAATAATTTTTAATGTAAATGAACGAAAAGAAATTCATAATCAATATATTACTAACATTGTAGATATAATAAAAAGATATTTACCTGGACGTTTTATTATATATTGTGCAACACATTCCAACTGTGAGCGCTTGTATAATAAATTACAGGAAAATTTAACAAATATTTCAGTGGGATATTTTCATGGTGGTTTGCGTGATGATGAGAGAAAAATAACAATGAATAATTGGAAATATAACCATATACAAGTAATGGTTGCAACATCTGCATTTGGAATGGGGATTAATTCAAATGATATACGTGCAGTTATTCATGCGGAAGCACCAATGAGCATGAGTAAAGTATAATACAATAGTACCTTATTTTTTATCATAATATTCTAATCGTACATCTTTTGCAGCTAATCTTATTCAAGAAGCTGAGCGTGCAGGACGTGATGGAAACACTGCGATACATGTTATATTTTTTAGTAAAAAAGATATTCGCACAAATTATTCAATAATAGCAGAATATCGAGACACGTAAATATTTACCTTTTATTATTACTGAATTCTTTTCATCTTGTTATTTAATTGTATTTACTTTGATAGAGAATCTATTACGGCCAGTGAACAGAATTTGACCAATAAACTTGAACGAGTTGCAAGTAAAATTTTTGAAGTTTTTTACTATTGCATTTCGCAATATGAATGTCATCAACAATTAATTTGGAAGTATCAAGCATGGCCTGATGAAGAGAAGCCATCTGTATGCGAAAGATGTGATAACTGTATTAAAAGAATTGCCAATAGACCAAAACTAATTGATGGAAAGGAAGAAATAATGAAATTACTAGAAGTAGTTGAGTTTCTTACGCAAGAAGAACAAGTTAGTCCAGATGATATTATTGATGTTTTTAGAGGTGGAAAAACAAAGAGGATAAAACAAAAAAAATGGGATACATTGTCTATATTCCCAACTGAAAAGCGAAAGGTATTAAAAACTAAAGAACTAGTTCAGTTTGCATTGGCCGAATTAGTTGTTCGAGGTTTAGTTCAAGAGAAAATAATACTGCGAAAACCATTTGAAGGTGGTACAAGTTTATCTAGTAGTATTGTAGTAATAGGTGTGGTACGAGATGCACAAGCAAACGCTAATATGCAAACTTGGCATTATTATGTAAAATAATTATAGTATAAATATAATAAAATATAATTTCATAATTAATTTCAGCCGAAATTACAGTGTTACACAAAGATCAGTTATTGTTACACGAAAAAAAATTTGCATGCGAATTACTATGTATGTTTACTCTACCCTTAATAATTAGTATAAAACATTTATTTTTAAATTTTATTACTTTGAAAAATATGAAATTATAATTTTTTATAAAATAAAATCTGACTTCATTTTTAGATAAAATCTTAGTATTATCGCAGGTAATCATCATTAAGGTTGCTTGTCTAAATCTCCTCAAAATCCTACGATTAGTTTCGTCAAAATTTTACTATAGATTTATTATAGTTTTGGCAGAGTTTTGGCAGTTTCAGCATTTATAATAAGTTTTGGCAGTTTCGCCTTTCTCCAAAGTTTCGCCAGTTTTTTAATATAACTTTAATATAGTTTTGGCAGAATTTCGCTTTTCGGCGAAACGCTATCTTGCCTAAACCCTTAGGTTTCGGCACGCAACCTTAATCATCATCGCAAAGTTTACTTCACGTGATTATTACGATATTATTTTATTTACTAATTTAAATCAAATCAAAATAATTTCAGGAGAGTATCTTTTTCTTTTCATGTATAAAAAAAATTTTTTTTTTTGATAAAAAGTTACAAAATATTTCTTCCTTTTTATTTTTTTCATATATATACTTTCTTTTCTTTCCAAAATGAATATTGATAATTATAATAATTGAATGATCCTACAATAATATTTGATGATAATAATAGCTACAGTTATATTGCTAATAATTCGGTAAGTATTAGTATACAGTTTTGTTTTATTAACGTTGATTTTTTTAATATTTAACTAAATTTTCAACTATAGATGGTTTTGAGTACCAAAAAGAGGAAACAGAAATTGATCTGAATTCAATTTCACCAGAAATTGGAATGATTTTTGACAATTATAACTTTGCAGAACGTTTTTTTAATCAGTATGCAAAATCAAATGGACTTGTAATCATAAAAGGACAAATAGAGAAAGATAAAACTAATAAATCAATTATTGTATAAAGGTCTTTTGAATGTTATCATAGAAGAATTTGTAAATCAAAGAAGGTTATTGATCTTATGCAACAAAGAAATCGACAATTAGAAAAGATAAATTGTTCTTGGGTATGTAATGTCAATAGAATAAAGAATACAGATTCTGTAAAAATTACCAGTTTTGTTACTCATCATAACTATGATTGCAACAATAATGTTGCTCAATATGCTCCAAAGTATTGAAAATTACCTTCAAATATACTTAGTAATATCTGATTTTTTACATTGGACGATCACATAAGTGCAGGAATGCAATACTGTTTATTGTCATCAAAATATTCTGATATTTACATTTATAAAAGGGATTTGTATAATATTATTTATCATTTTAAAACTACTACTAATCATCAAAGGCAGGTAATGGACAATCAATTCTTATTAAACTTTTAGAACTGCAATATGAAGAACCAGAGTGAATTATTAAAATGCGTCTTGAAGGACCAGATAATTGACTAGTTGGCTTATTTTAAATGAATCCAACTCAAGTTCAACTTCTTATTAAATACTGTGATATTGTTATTTGCACTGGTCAAAATCAAAAAAATCGGACATATGGAAAATCGGCCAAAAATCAGACCAAAATTGACTAACATTATAAATCGGCACATCTGATTGATGCCAATCAGACAATTTGATAAAAATTCAG